CAAGGGTTTCTTCTGTGATCAAAAAGGTCGTAAGGATCGTTATAACAGTTTTCGAGTCAATATTCGAGTCTTGAGGAAGATTTATCAATTAATCAATGTCAATTTTTGAACTATTTTCTGCCATTTCGATCGCGGAGGTCGTGAAAACTTTCAGGCGTTAAAGCAATTCCTAAAACACGCAAGAAAACGACTAACGTATTGCATTAATTTTCAGCGTGAACTCGATCTAGTTATTACTCCGAAACAGAAAATCAATTGTCAGAGCAACTTAGCCTTTGTCATAATTAAAATCGGACACTTCATCATCGGTAAATTAGGAAATCATGTTTTAAATCGAAAAAAACGCGCAAAATAGAGAGGAAACAACTCAACGATATGCTCATTAATTGGCCACAGAAGTTATCACGCTCGAGGACTCGCCAGTAAATGTACAAGCAGACAAAAGGCTGGAAACCCAAATAGAACCCATCGAAGTTCTAGCTGAGCAAATGGAACTAAATATTGGTGTGGGGAGTCCTTGTACTGATAAGCAAAAATGATACAACTTAGAAAAATTTAAAGCCACTCACTGGAAAATTGTTTTTAAGTCAAGGGATCTGAATCTGGTAACAATATTGAGTGAACCAAGCAGCAGAGACAACCCATTAGACGAGCCCTAGGGCTGAAAAGACCAAAAATAGCGAGCTGCTGTGTAAGGAGAACAGAAAGTTTCCACTTCAAAATCAAAAAACCATTCAGTATTTGAAAAATTGGAGGTCAGCATCTAATTATTGTCGAATTTCTTATCTTATTTACCGTGAAAAATGAAAAATACAGACGAGTTCTTCTCGACACTGAGACATTTCATTCAAGAAAATTAAAAATCCCAATCACGTCCAATATCGCTCTAATATGATATCACCTTTGATTCCGAACGAATTTTTGTTGACGCGCTCACAATTGACCGGAGAAAAAAGTAAAAAAAAAACGTACCGTTTTACATGTATCCTTATTGTTCTCCGAGAGTGGTCGGAACAATGACCAGCTGTAGTCACAGCTCCAAGCAGATCATGAGCAAGGAACAAGACTACCCTCAAAATTATCAATTTCAAGGAATTTAAAAACTGCAAAATCACTGAAGGTAGAGGCGGTTCTTCGAGCGTCAATGGAAACTTTGCAGATAACATACCGAAGAATCCGGTGGAATTTCTAAAAATCTAAAGCCAAAGATAAACATGGTACAACTTCAAAGTCTCGGAAACCTTTGGCGACCGACTTTCACAATAAAACATACGAGTTTTCGTCGGTGAAATGCCAGTTTCAAATTCCGTTAATGTCTCCTAACATTGAGTTAAAGAGATATATTAGATGACAATCTACATATGGACCGAAAGAATGTTCAGAAAAAAAAACACTCAAAAAAGACTGAAATAACTAGTTAATATTTCCAGTTTTACCATGCAAGAATTTCAAATTGCGAATGGATTGGTCAAAGGCCGTAATTGGTCTGAATAGTAGAAACTCTCTGAAACTCATTATTTAACCCTATCGATTTTTACGAGCAATTTTGACCTGTATAAAATTTTTTCTTTAGAAAAAAAACTGTAGACGTAATGTGTTTATCGCTTGACTTGATGGGTTATATAGCTAATCTGGTATTTTTCGTTTAATGATGACGAGCTACCTTATTCATTGTGAGTGTTTTAGTTAAGGTTGGACTTTTTTATTGAAGGTAGAGGCAGTTTTCTTGGAGAAAATAAATCTGCGGGTTGGTCTTAATTGTATTGAAGACATTTTCCTTGTCCTGCTTGTAGTATATGGACAGTTTAATGAAGCGTGCTTTATATGTAGGTATCACTTATTGTTACGAATTTCGACGAATGAGAGGAATAATAACGCTCGTGTTGATTTTTTTTATTCAGACAATTTTGGCAAAACTCTTTGTTTCCTTGGAAGATTGATCCTTGATCTGCATCGCTCCAGCTAGGTGATCACGTCACTAAGTAACAGGCCACAACGCTGTCTAAACTGCCGCTTTTACACTGTACATATGGCTTTTTATAATTACCAGCACTACGAAATCGTTCCAAATTGAATTGAGGCAGCTTATGGATTTTATAATTCCGTACCCGACACAGTTTAAATACTTAAAATTTGATATTATCAGCCAAGTTTCATAGTTCTGCCGATATTTAAGTTTTAAAGAAAACATAAAAAACAATTAAACATCAATCAGAACATTCAAGGCTTTGCCCTAATAAAAGCAGTCTTGTTCTTCTTTAATTCTACTTCATTGCAATAGTAACTTTTTGTCACTTAACTAGATTACAAGCCTGCTCGTATCAAGGAAAGTTTTTGACACCTCGGCCGGCATCAGATAGAGTTTCCATTTAAAAATGCTCGCCCAAAACACGTCTCAGCAAGGCATGTGACATTGTTTTGGCAAAATTGATTGCTGAAACCAACAATGATTTAACTTAGAAAAAACTGGAAATTAGTAGCAACAGTCTGATAGTCCTGATAGTCTGGGGGTAAAGACATAAAGACATGGCAGTCTGCAAATTTTGTTGTTGAAGTCGCACATTCTAGACATAATTTATATTTTTTTTGTGTTTAAATGTAGAGAAAATGAATCATAATAATGAAAAGTCTGTTCATGGTGGAATCGCTATGAACAAAAATATTGACATCAAAAAGTTAATTGTTTGAAAGCATGAAAAAAATATACTCACTTTAACTAGATTTTGGAAGCATTATAAAAAAACTGTTACGTTTAATATAATTTTTTTGACGCGCGACTGGAATACTTTAACCGGATTGCGAAGCGACCTTAATTATTGATCGCGAAGGTTACGGGTATATCTCTTTGTTCTACAAACTCTCAAAATTCTAATCTTCAGTCGCAGCTGTCTAAATCTTCGCAGTTTTGGTTTTCAACTTCTGGAAACGCTGACTCTTGTTAGCAAAAGTCTGGCCTAATAAGAACCTCAAGAACCGCAAATTCGGCTCTGATTGAAGTGGTACCGAAGGTTGTATCATATCTGGCTGGTAAATCATAGTAGACATGGGTTTTCTAAATAACATTTTTTTCACTTTTAGTAAGGTTATAAGATCTCCCATTCAGGAGTAGATGTGTCTATAGTGGAACCAGTTTAAGACTATTATTTATATCCAATTATTTTATTGATAAAACTATCTCTATAAAGTATTCCTAATTAGCAAATCATGATCCAACTAATACTAATTAACACTTACATATATTTGTAAAGCTGAAACTATTCATAGTTTCAGCAACAGAACAAAATAAATATAATTTAGCAAACAGTTGTTCTTCTTCAGAAAGTTATCTAACTCGCAAATACGAGTATACACCAGCTCTATCCAGACTAGGAGATATAAGAATAAGATTAAGATTGGTATTAGACTAAGAAGTTGCACGAATCTATCCGACCGAAAATAAGATAGCGTGACGAACAGACGGTGTACCTATGCGTAAGCTACCTCTGGCTTAAGCTAATCTGGTGCGACCAAAAGTCTCGAACAAGACCTACAAACAAAATTAGATAGCAAAGTAGCAAATTAAGCTTTTTTACATACTTTTTATCACAAAAAATTTGTAAATCATTTTTGCCATACTTACCAAATTATCTATTTTTTATACTATGAAATTGTATGACAAGCGTTTCTTTCATACTCTAAGACTCTGCCTGATGGGCAATTTTTTCATAATTGAAAATGCAAAAAGATTGCTTCCAAAATTTGCTTTGTATCCAAAAACAAAATAACCCAGGATTTTTATCATAAAAAAAACAAAAGTATGAGTGGCAGTTACTATGAAGATAAATAACATTTAAAGATATTAGCGATGCAAGTTATTATTATTTTTCTTACTCAGAGTTATATAGCAAAATTTTTCATATATGGCTAGAAAAACTTTACATTGAAAACTTTGCTGGTCCAGAAAAAAGTCCTATTTTTTATTCAAAAATTTAGGTTGATCTTAGCCTATGAAAAGAAATAGTAATTTTGATTTTAAAAAATCTTTCGCATGTGATTTTTAGATTTTTTGATTGAAGTTTCAACCTGGACTACGTTTTATTCACAAATAACAAATTTAGCGTACAAATTGTTTTCTGTAAATTGTTTAATTGAACACAGAAGCAAATTTGCAATAAAAAACAACTATTAAAACTTTTCACAAAAATGTATTTTTTTCTATGAAAAAAATGCATATCAAATTCTTTTTAATAGAGAAATTGTACAATGAACATTCTTGTTCAAAAAAATTTTTGATGCCAAAGTTGCTTTCATATAATCAAAACTGTCACTAAATTATTTTGTTTAAGTCTTAAACCAATTTTAAAATAATTTTCGAAAAAAAAAAATGTTTTTATCGAAAAATGTTATCATAGAACTTTCTCCTATGAAAATTGTATGACAAGCATCTCTGTTGCATATGTCAGTCCGGTTGTCGAGTGATAAAGTTATTTTTTCTCTTTTTGAATTTTTTAGAAATTTTTAATAAAAATCAGCAGAAATGTAAAAAAAAAATTGGAGCATCACATAAATTAAACTATAATTGTGATTAAACTGATTAGAATATTATTGAGTTTGGGATGGTGCCAGCATTCATAGTCTATTTTTTTTGGATGCCGAAAAAATATATATAAATGTACAGTTGTGCTACTAAAATTATAAAACTCAATCGCATGCAAATCCACTCGCAAATAGCAATTAGTTCGAACATGAAACTTATCGTTGGTTCATTTTTCTTAAATAAGTTGGGCAGAAAACGGTGGAAAGTTGGAAGGTTCTTCTAAAAACTTAGATGGCTTAGATAGGAAATATTATTTTATGAGGGGTGTTTTCTGTCCATTTGGATCGACTGATGGATACAAAAGTAGCTAAACATTCAGTGAAAAATCAACTCAGAAAGCTTGAATTTTGTAAGCTAGTGGAACCAGTTTAAAACAGTATTTATAACTAATTATATTCTTGCTAAAACTATCTCTATAAAGTATTACCAACTAAGCAATCATGATCCATAACTAACACTGACAGTTATTTGTAATGCTGAAACTACTTTATTTTATCTTGAAAATCTTTGGCATTGATTGGCGGCGCGTTGATTAGCATTTGATGTAGTTTCCGTTGACAAACCATGTTTGCGTCCCATTGATCGACTTCCACCTTCGAATTACAATCTATTGTTGTACTGCCCATCCAATATTCGAAGTCTGTTGTGTCGAGAATGGATTTATCCGCCAATTCCAAATGTTTTTTCACCAAGTCGCGTAGAGCATCGTTTTTGGTTGCGATGTTTTTGTGGCTCATAACCACTGTGTTCGTTAATTTACTTTGTTTGCACGCATCTCGAATAGATTTATATGAAGGACTTTTGTTATCTTCTTCAAGTTTTGAATTGTCACCAAAACAAAATATAATGGCGTTGATTTTGTAGCTCGAAAAAAAAATTTCACGTAGCACTCCCTTTTTACATAAATACAATGTTTTACCCTGGAAAATCTTAGAGTGAGGTCTCAGTCGAACAATATCTTTAAGACCGAGAGGTTTAATTCGAATGCGGTAGGGATCACTCACGGTGGCGCCCAATAGAAACGAAACGTATGCATCAATAGTAGCATCAACTTGTTTACAATCGCCTGCAAATATCAGAACACTTGAATTAAAATGAGTAATTGGAAAAGGCTGTAAGCCTCGTTGGAAACCTGAAGCTACATCCATAATGTTTTTGTTATTTTTATCTTGTTCTAATCCAAGATATAAACAGCAACCTTTAACGCTCCAATAATTTCGGAAAAAGCCGGAAAGATAGGTACCAAATTCGCTGCTTAAATGCACTTCCTTATTTATGAAATAATCGATGAGCTTCGCCGCTGCAGAAGGTTCTGAGACACTAAACTGTCTGAATCTATCTTCTGCTTTTGCTCTAACTGCTCCAGTTTTCACTTTAAATGGCTTGCACAAAATAGAGCCCAGTTTGTCGCATTTGACCACTATCTGTACTTCATAATTTTGGTCTTTTTTCAGGGGCTGCCTAAGGTGCGATGATATTTCGAAGTCGTTCTGAAAGCTGTCAGCGCTAGCCATATCCCATTGAGCAGCAGTTCCAGTTTGTGAAGAATCCTGTACTTCCTCTGAGCTTTCTTGCAACTTTGGTTGCCATTGGATTTCAAATCCGTTTACGTTTTCGTCTGACACTTTATCCCAAACAACTTTGACAGTATTTTCTGAGCCTAAGACTCTAAAAATTGGTAGTTTGGGAAGACTTTCGAGGGCCACTGACTTCCCAAACTCCCCTGTGAAATAAATTTGTCCTGGAGTTTTATTATTTTTCTTTTTTCTCGTCACACCAAACCCGAATCTGAAGTCTGTTTGGTGAAAGTCGATTTTGAGCTGGAAAATTGCGGAAATTGACTCTTGCAGCGACTGTAGATTCTCGTCTTTTTCAAACCAGTTCTCCTGCTCTTCGTCACTTTCGGTTTCACTCTCGCTTTTTTCAGGGTTTTCAACTGAAATAATTTTGAGTTTTGATTGCAAGGCATGATTTTTCTGCAACATTTCTTCACACGAAATGTCCAGCAAAAATCTGTTAAATGCATCGTTTCCATCGTCAGTCATGAGATTCACAAGTCCTTTTGACTCCATTATTTTGAAAATTTGCTCGAGAAATAGGTTTTCTTTTGTTTTAGTCGAAGTGAACTTTTCGGCTACATGACTTTGTTTCACCATTACACTCGTTGCTTTATCGATTTCGGCCATAAACTTTGCCCTGTCAGTTGTAGTTCCGCTCCTCAGTTTTGGTAAAACGTCGCGTAGTTTTGTCCTGAACTCCTCAAAATTCTTTTCATACTGATTTTTGAAGTTTTCACACTGCTTCTTGCATGCCAGTATTCGCTGGATGCATCCCAAGTTTTGAAGCTCCTCAAGTGATGACAAAGATTTTGAAGATTTTTCCAAAACACTCATTAGCCTCTGAAGCGTCTTGTCATCAAGAGAACGAACAATTCTATTTTCATCGGAGTTGATCATAGAAATGGGAAGAAGTTGAACTGTCAAAGTGTTATTGTAATGTTTTAGACTCCCCGGCAAAGTTCTGGATGCAGCTGCTACATCCTCAAAACTGGAAACAGGTACATCAACTACTCCGTCAACTTTGACCGTATACTCGTCAATTTGCTTCCCAGTTTCTTTTAGATAGTCTCCAAAAGCGCTTATCCTCCCGCCGATCATTTTTTTCCGTTCTTCCGAAATTTTGCCACTGATTTTATTAATCTCATCGACGTTTGAACATTTCATCCTGAAGGAAATATTCGCAGTTGCTCCCTCGTAAACTTCGCAAACAAAATGAGTGACATCTTGATTTTTCAAAACCAGATTTTGGTGAGGAGTTTTAATCATTTTTTCCATTGGAATGCTTCGAACTCTGTTCTTCTTGATGCATGTTACATCAATCCGAGCCTCTTTAGTCGTGTTTGTACCTGAATCCAGATAATTTGCGGAACCACTTAGCTTGACAAATCCCAAGGCAACATCTAAGGCTCCATCGGCGTCCATTTCACTGTTGTTGCGCAGCTCTTTTGAAGTGGTCGAAACGGTCATTTTAATGTCTTGGGCATCTGTGATCTTTTGCTGACGTTCAATGTCTTCCCAGTTCCAAAGACTCCAACTGCGGAAAAATTGGCCTCGACGGGCATCAAACAGAGTGCCCAATTCAATCTGCTCGCCCAGAGCATGTCTCGTGATTGGCAACTCATTTGACATTGTTCTGGCAAATAAGATTGCTGAAACAAAAAATGATTCAGCTACACAAAAATTCTTGAAATTAGTGGCAACAGTATGAAAATGAATTTTGAGAGTCTGGACATTAAATCGCGGCAATCTGCAAATTCTGTACTTGAATTCGGACAGTCTTGACACAAGTTGTGGACTTGTGTGTAATGCCTAATTTTCCTACTTGCTATTTGCCTAGTTCATGTGCGTTTTTGGAAGGTAAATAATACATAATCAGTAATTTTTAACTTCAAAACTTTATTTGGCGCGCGATTCAAAAACCATGACCTGACTGCGAAATTTCATTAGCGCCATCCATCTCGCGCGAGCGCATTTGTTCGAGACATAAGTTGCAGACCTCAGCCCGGGTACTACTCAAAACCAGAGGCAGAAATTTTTTTGCTGCGCTAATCATATGGATAAATTCTTTCCTTCATTTTTTATATTTTATATCGCTGAAAACGAGTTATTTGTCGGATTTTTTTGTCAGTTTTATTTATCTTTTGTTCGCGCAGGTTAATTTTTTTTGAGGGCACACCTCGTTTTGAAGTTTTTTGGACAGTCGCGTACAACTTTTTAATGGTCGCGAAGGTTGCAGACATGTCTCTTTCGGTCTGCAAAGTTTAAAAAATCTAAATTGCCGTCGCAGCTGTCAAAAAGATTATTCCCAGTTTTGGTTTGAAATTCTGGAAACGCCGAATCTCGATAGAACCTAGTTTTCTCTGCACATAAAATCGCACTTCGGCTCGCCATTAAGATAATACAGAAAGGTGTCTCATATAAGTTTCATAGTGTATGGTAGTGTAACCTACAAAGCGTTTGTTATCCAAGTAAGGGTGGGTATACAAGACCTCCAAGTCAGATAGAAATGTGTCTACAGGTGTACTTACTATTTGTTTTGACAATCCTTTTTTCTGTCGAACAAGTAAAAGCACGTGAAAAGTGTTTTACAGCACGTTTAATATTTTGAACAATTTTTGAAAAAAGTTATAATAAGATTCGTTTTATAAAAAGCACGTTTTCTATCAGTTAATTGGAGTATTCGCAAGAAAGACTACGGGACCTACTGTAAAACATTCAGATTTTCATTATTGGTGGACTTTTTTAAAAAACCATCAGGAATTAAAACCAGTTGAAACAAGCTCAAAAATAATTGTTGATTTTCATTTTGCATTGGGTTTTCTTATTCAATTCGTCAAACACGCAAATGTAAGCTTGCGATTTAAAAACTGTTCTCTTATGTACTGAAGGCTTACTTGTTTTGGTTACTTTCACCAAGCACAAGAGCTTTGGTTATTTTAACCATGCAGGCCAAGCATTGTAACCACGCAGACCAAGAGTTATTGTACATGCTCGGTTGAGCTCATGCTGCGTTGTGTCTACGAATTAAGAAAATATTTGCCAGGTACTTTTTGAAAAAAAAACGGTTTTTACACAGCACGTTTAAATTTTCACATGCTCGAGGTTTTATAAATGAATGATTTTCTACAAGCAAGAATGCATAGCTCTCTTTAAAATATATACCTTTTCAATGGTGTGAGTTAGGACCGATGTGGTTAACTCATAGAGTAATTTCGGATAGGGTACACCGTCTGCTCGTCACGCTATCTTATTTTCGGCCGGATAGATTCGTGCAACTTCTTAGTCTAATACCGATCCTAATCTTACTCTTATACTATCTAGTCTCAGGTTGTTTAACTAGTCTCTGCTAGGCTCAATAGATCTAGGGTATACTGGTTTATTGCGGCTGCTGAAGTTCTCTTGGAGAGGCAACTAATTTCTAAGTTAATTTCAAATCTCTCTGGTGCTGAAATTACAAGTAATATCAGCACTTACAAATAAGTGGGTTGTTAGTTAGATGGATCATGATTGGTTAATATTAAATACTTTACAGTGGTAAAATATCTAATTTATCCAATCATAAAATATAGTTTAGATCAGGTTCCACCCATCCGGGTTTTACAGTTTTTTAGAATTATCTTTCTGCAATTCAAAGGATGGATGATGGACGTTGGTATTTGGCGAACATCGTATTCTGGTCCGGTTTCTCTTGTTAGAGAAGTTCCAGGACGCTGGAGTTAGGGACATTGATCGTTGTGTCTTCTTGTGACAACGACGGTGTTTCCCAATGAAATCAATCTGATTTCAGAATGGTTTGCTATGACGGGTTTTTCTGTTTTATGTAGAGAACTTCTTTTGTGTTCGACCTCATCTGGGAATGGCGTGGAGATTGTGCGTGGAGGGGATGCCTTGTAACTCGGATCTGTACGTATACTTGATCATCGAGGTGGTCATTGGTCTAGTTCAATTTCTGCGAAGTCAAGTCGCACTCTAAATCCTTTGAGTTGTGATTGTGGACGGCATATTGGTTGTGGTTGGCCATTCTTTTTCGAGTGTAGTGGGGTCATTTTGTCTTTGGATGTTCGTCTTTGTTGTTGTATGCTGATCTATATACTGCAAAGTATAAACTACATTTTAAAAAATTTTTATTAGTTCAGTGTTTTAATTATGATTTTGGTTAGTTGTTTTCACAAAAGCATTTTGTTTTAGTTCGGTTATTTTGAAGAGTTACTCACCCTTGAGTACCTCTATTAAAAATAGAAGCGTGGTCACAAAGCGTGGATGTAGCGCGGTGGGTTAGGCCGGCTATAGAGCATGCTCAGGACGTCCTCTCTGGTGGGTTAGGCCAGGAGTGGGAGTCTGATTTTGTGCGGTTTCTGTGAGAGGTCCTGTTATGTGATAACGTTTTATGTCGGGTTTGTGGTGGTTTTTCTTATGTTTCGTTGGTTGTGTCCTTTTTTCAAAAATCAAATTGTTTTTGGTATGGGTTTGTCTTTCGACTTTTTTGTGTTTTATTATTTCTTTTTTAGACTTTATAATAGTCTTCAAAAGAATACATTATCCAGTTTTAAACTGGATTAATCCGGTTTGGGTACCGTTGGTTTCCTTTTCTTAGTCATGCTGTTCTTTTATGATTTGTGGTGTTTAGTAGGCTGCGTTGGTTAGTTTCGTTTAGTATATAATTCCTTTCCAACCGGGTTAAAGGAAAGTTTGAAACTTGTTATCGTGTGTTAGAGTTGTTGAGTGTGAAAACTTGAAACTGGAATTCATTATTTAAACAATTCTTCGTGGGCGAGCTGTGCGAGCTTGGATAGAATTCTTGTGCGAATGAATGAAAATATCAAAAGGTTAGTACTGCATTTTCGTTTTATCAAGTTACTACATAGAATTTTAATTTTACTGCTAGTTTTGGGGAAAAATTAAATTACAAATTTTCGTTTTTTATGAAATTTACTGCTTTTGGGGAAACAATTTATAAATCAATTAATTGAATTTGGTATAAATTTTATCAGTTTATCTTGTGGAAAATATTAGTGAAGTGAAGAATTTTAACAAGTTTATTTTTTATTTTGCTTTTTTGTTCCTTCAGATGATCCTGGTATGAAGGCTAAAGATCTAAATGAAACATGAGTAAAAAATGGTTAGTATTTATTTTAAATTTATTAGTGAAACATATGTATAAATTATACTTACTTGTTAGTCGTCGGGGAAAAAACTGTGGGGGAAGATGTCGTGTATTATGTCGGAGTTTGTTAGTAATTTTGCTAGTATGCAAATGATGTTTTTAGTTTGAAGCAGTGGCCAAAGCAATTGAAGTGCTCTAATAGTTTTTAGTTCTTCAGTGCCAACTGCAAACTCATAGGTTGTGTTTTGAATGAGGTTATATAATTTGTGATTGTATTTAGTGTTGTGGATGAATTCTAATATTGGGATTTCTATAGGTTGGATAAATTCATGTGGGATAAGGAAGGGTCTGGATTCTTCTGCGTTAAAGGTCTTCGTGATGGGACAAAATATATACATTTGGGTTATGGGATCATAATTGCGGAGGATACCATGAAGGTTAGTATCTTTGATGCAATATGTGAAATTAAGAAAAAATGGTGAAGTGTATTTAGAGTTAAGAAACTGAAAACGGTGGTGTGGTTGTCTTGATGGAGTGTGTAGATCAAAATGATTTTGTATGAAGCGATAATATGTATATGTGTGGGTTTGTTTAGTGCGTAACATAATATCGTGTGAGCAGTGCAAATCGCGTTCATGTGGTGCAAGGAAGTGGAAGGTTAGTGAAAATAATTGAAATTTTTCTTTAAAACTTTCGTAAGCTTGCATGTCGATTAGTGCTTCAGAAATGATGTGATCAAATTTTCGATCAAAAATATTGAGCGTAAATACATATGGTGTTTTGATGAAGAATTTTTCTGTTAGTTGTGGGTTAGCGAAGCGATCATCATCTAAAAATTGGTCTTGGTTAGTTCGGATGATGTTATGATCGTAATATTCTAGCGTAAATTCGTTAGCTCGGGGTGCAGTGAATGTTTTTAGTGATTTTTATATCCTATATAAGTAAATTGTCTATGTGTTAGTGGTGTGGTGAGTCGATATAGCATATCTTGATTTCTTTCTAGATCGTTATGAGTATTAGATAATGGTAGGCAAAGGGGATTAGTAAAATGATAATATGATGTCCAATGAAGTGTAGGCATTTAAACATGTTCATCTACAAAACTACGTGTGTCGTTAGTGTCATGAGGGGTGTTTAAAGTATATTGTGGAATTGAAGGTAAGGTGATTGCTAAAAAATCTTTCGTGTTAGTGTTATATGGATGATTAATATATTCACGGGCTGTTCCTGGTTTGGTTGGGAATGGATGGTTTGGGAATTTTCTTTTAAAAGTGCGATAAGCTCTATTAGTGCTATTTGATGATTCGGTGGAAGTGGATGATTGTGCTAAAGATGCAGAATAAGCTGAAGAGGGTGTAGGGGTAGGTGGGTTTGAGGATTCTATTGTGGAAGAAATCTGATTTATAGTGGGGGTGTTAAGGTGTAATAGTTGTTGTTGTAGGGTGATAAAATTATCGAGTTCTTGGGAGATTTGGGGAATATCTGGAGAATTGGATGATCGGTCTGAATGAAATGAAGAGTAGGTTGGGGTGACTTGTGAAGCATAAGAGGGTGTAGAAATGGATGGGAGTGGGTTATTTGGTGGGATTGGTTGAAAAGGGGGTTTTGAAAAAATTGAGGAGTTGGTTTGAAAATTATTGGATGGAGATGGTTCAGAGTCTGCAAATTCATCAGGGGTTTCAATATTAGGGTTATTGAGTTGTGAAATGGAGTATAAAACTGAAATATTTGAATTAGTGTCTGAATTCATGCCTGATGTTATATTACTAGTTGGGAAATCGGGTGGCGGGAAAGCAAAAAGTGGAATTATTGTAATTGGAGTGTCGAGGTTGGTTGGATGGGAATTTGAGCGGTGTAGGGATCCAAGTTGTCGGCTCATCGTGGGCTAAAAAACTTATTATTTTGAGACTGAAAAGCTGTTGTATGGGGTTGTTCGATAATTTGTTTATATGTATTTTCATCTTGTGAATGATGTGTCCTTATATGTTGTATGGGACTTTGCGATATGTTTGGTCTAAACTTTGGATTATGTGTTATTGCTAAATTTCGAAAATTTCGTGGGACTAGCGATAATGGATGGTTATGTGGCAGGGGTGTAACTGTGGTGCTGTAGTTGTTACCTCTATATTATTATGTTCTTCGTCGTATGTGTTCTGTCTTGTCGCTATTTTTGTATTGTATTCTTTCATTTGTGCGTCTAAAAAAATTTTGTTTACTGATGATGAAAAAATTCCAAAAAATCCTGCAAATAGTATGCGTGCTACACTTGCTTGTCTATTTACTTGTGAGTGTATAGCGCATGTATTATAGATTCCTTTTAAAAGTGAAAAAAGAAATCCTATAAAGTTAAACATTGCGTATAGAAAAGTCAATTTTTCTAAGATGTAATAGGGCCATCCTAGAAAGTCAAGAATTTCATTTTGAGATATCTTGTGGTCGGTATTTTTCACCGTTTAGATATATATATAGTCTTTAATGTCTTTAAAATATCCGCTCTAATCTTGTGTGTAGATATCTGCAAATCCTGCGGTTTCGGCAAGTTTGCGTAAGTTTTGGTCGATTGATTGTCTTTGTATAGTGTCCATTTGTGTTAATAATTCTTGGAATTGTTGTGTTCTATTGTGATGTTGGATATCGGATTTTGAATATATTCCA